CTAATTGAGTTTAGGGGGGCTAATTGAGTTTAGGGGGGTAATTGAGTTTAGGGGGGGGGGCTAATTGAGTTTCTTCCGTCAACACAGCGGAAAACAATAAAAAAGCATCTAATTCTTCAGTTTTGTTTTGTTTTTCTGATGAAGGGGGACTTCAGCTCCCCTTTCCGCCCTTGTTCTAAACTGGAAAAAATAAATTTGGATAAAATTTATTGAGCTCTCGACTCAACTAGGAACTTTATCACTATGTCTATTCTTTGCGTACATATTTACGGTGTTCAACTTACCTATAGAGAAAAAATATCGCTCTGGGATCCTCACGAGTACCCTATACATTCATAGTTCTGCTGCGTTACCAGCGTGGTTGGTCCTTGTGGTGTAGTGGTATACATATCGGTTCGATTCCCGCCAAGGGCACTTGATATTTTTCTCTTACTCTTTCCCCACACTGAGGAGCAATAGAACAATTTAGTAAATAAAAAGCTATTTATAAGTAATAAAAGTAAAAAGGTGCTTAATCCTGTTTATTTGATTCATGCCAGCCCTGATGAACATCATAGCTAAGGCCTTGCTCAATCAATACTCCAAGATCCTTAGCAACTGAAACAGGTGAAATAGGTTTACCTAATAATAATAAGGAAATTGCAGGCAGCTTCTTAGCATAGTTAATAGAGGGGAATGGTTAGGAAACCCTTTTGCTATGGGTCTTTGTTCACTTTTTTCAAGCGTGACCATGCACAATCCTTTGTTTTACCATTGTTTTACCATTGTTTTACCATTGTTGGCAATGGCCAGACCAAAATCTTTCTTTTGGCTGCTAGTTCAAAATACTTAAAGATTTATAAGAGATATTTGAATATTCCTTACAACAATCCCATAGACATTTATGTTTACTTATTTTGCAATTTCGGATGAGCATAAATCAAACATATTGTACGGTCAAGACCAGTTTAACATCAAAAGGGAACAAAGACCTGATAACAATAGGTTTCCTAACCATTCCCCTCTATTAACTTTGTTCTTAGTAATTTGTGGTGGTTGTATTCATCAGCACAATCAGCCCCGATTTCCCCTGGGTCCGAAATCAAAACCGCCCCTGGGCTTTTTAGATTGTCGAGTTTCTTTATCGGGTATAAAGATCCATGCACGTGATGGATTCGAAGGACCTGATAGGTCTAAATACTCATTAATTCAATTCATGTATTTTAGAAGTATGTGTGAAGGAACCAAATCTAATACCCCATTCACACCTAAACGTGTTTAGTTAAACTATGTTTTCATTAGGAAAAAAAATGAGAAACTAGAAACCTACAATATGATATTGTCAGAGCAAGACAAAGGATAGTTTACATGAATTATTTCACCAAATATTGTGCAGTGTTC